ACTTAAAGTTAAGCAAAATGGAATTGTTGATGTGCATACTAGCCAAAAGTAATTAACTCTGTTAGTAAACGAAACACAATTTAGTGGCCCTTGTCCAGGTTTTATTGGTCATGTACCACCTAATATATCTACAGGAAACTTGCAGTGGTCTGTCTTACATCCTAAAGTCCAGTATGATATTGGTGTCGTGACCTATATGCTTCAAACTAGAGTAGATTAATTATTAGAAAGGTTGTTGGCCTTCTTAAAAGCACCAGCAGGTGTAGGTATTTCTCTGGGTAATATTATTTTATGAAAAATGATTACAAGGTTGGATAACTGTAGAAAAAGAATAAAAGAAAAGAATAAGGATAACCTTCCAAATACTTATGATGATTTTGCTTTATGCTGTTCATTTATAAAGTTTGGTAATTATTTGGAATACCTTTGCATAAACGATTGTGAAAGTTTTGGTATTGATAGATTCCTCTCACTCTGTACTCTTCAAATATAACAAAATTATGGCCATGGAACCTAACCCTCCCATTAACAACAATCTTATCTCTGATAGCTGGGGAGGGCATGAAGGATACCAGGGAAATTGCGGTGTAAAATATGAATAATATTTTACCTATTCCCATTCATGCCCTCCCCTGCTATTAGGGCCAAGATTTTAGATATTGGGGGGTTACTGTAGTAGTGGAAGACGAATAGCACTTATTAGCGCCCTGCACATTATTTATTGGGATTGACACAAATAACGTTGTGACCAGTCATGTGAAGGTATTCTAATTATTTATTTAAAGGTTTACTCTGCAGAAATCAGCAATAGCTGAGGATGATATCAAGTATACCAGGCAGATTCCAGGGCAAATAAAAGTTGTAACAACAGATTATCCTAATTTTATACGCATGATAATTCTTATTTTTAAGTAGCTCCACCTCCTGTAAGTCTCTGCATAAAGTAGCTAGATCAAAGCTCCATGAGATGTATGGTTTAGAATGGCTTTGCATTGAGGGATGTTTTCATCTCCATGCCCTTAATGCAGTGGCAAAAATGAGTAAACCTGCCAACCATATTTCCTTGGCAATTTTAATTTAGACTGCTATATTATTTGATGATTAATTGTAGCAGTGTTATTAATTGTTAATAAAATGATCACACTTCTGAGACTTATTTCATATTACTCTAGCCAACAATCTTAGGGTTACTCCTGGGAATCCTCAAACATTACTGTATGAACCAAAAACCCTCCTACCTTGGTGGCTTTGCCTCTGGGCCTCCACCTAAGTGCTTGTACTTAGAAAAAAGGAATTTAAAGTACATTGCTTTTTAAGAGTGACAATGATTACCCAGTGCAGCCGGAGATGGCTTATCTGCACATGCCATGCCCACTGTGAGTTTAGTTTATTGATTGTCTTAACACTTACAAGTTTACAAGTACTTAGTACTAGGTAATCAATGAGCCAACTATTAGTACTACCTGTCTAACGTGTTTACACTTTATCAAGATTTTTGTGAATATTTCTTTAACTGCACTGTCTTTTCAGATTATGCTGGTGAATTGTAGGCCTTTGCTAAGGACCAACAGTCATGGCAGTTGCTTAACATTCAGTTTACTGTTACTATCCTTACCATAGTTGATTTCTGAAGACAAAAACTCGTATATGTAAAGATTACACTTCAAAGGCAGTCCATCAGAGTCAGATTGTTACTATCAGCAATTCTGTTCTGTTCTGTAAAATTACCACTATGGCAATTATTGTGAATATTTGTTATTCCTTGAACTGTAAGGACAGAACAGTATTCATAGTGTCAAATGTAGAAAAGGTATGAATGAGAATGTATATCTTCACAGTACAAGAGATGTATTTAACCGGTTTGGATATATCTTTCTCAGAAATAGATATATTTCTGACAAAGATATATTCAAAACCAGTTAAAGATGTCTCTTGTATTGTGAAGCTCCTTCTTTTCATTCATACCTTTTCTGTAAGGACAGTTCTTTTATCATTGTTTGTGACTTCTGAAAACTATGTAGGAAATGCATTTTAAGTTTATTCAGATTTTTAGTGTAGCTCTCATTATTTTGATTTTGATTAAAAAAATCTATACAGACACTATTTATCAACAAAATCAGTCACTGCAATAAGTATTATAAATGTTTAGCATGGTGTGAACAATAAGAGCAGTCCTAGTATTAGTGTTTACATTTCTTTTCTGAGTGGGAAGCAGTCAATTTTTTTTTCTATAAAAGGTTTGCACGTCTTTTCAAAATTGTAGCATAACACTCAGTATGAATACGTTTGTGAATCTAAAGAAAAAGAAGAAATCTGTACAAACAAACCATAAGTATCAGCAGTAACATTTTTTTTTTTAAAGTTAAAGACCCTAGTGATGAAGATATATAGAATGAAAAAAGGACAAAAAACATATAACTAGAACTTTAGAAAGATGTCAGCCAGCTTGTCTTCAAAGAGAAAATGAAAATGATGCTTTGTTTCAGCATGGCCTTTGGTCTGCTTTGCAATATTCATGTAGATTATGACCTGCCACATCGTATGTTACGTTAGATATGCTTTATTTTGTAATTCTTTTGTTTCTTAGTTTGACCCCAGGATCCTTCATGAAAATGTTTTGTTTTTTCTATTATAAATAGGAAATGGAAAAAAAATGTTTCACTATTCTGCTTCGTTCTTTTAACTTCAATGCTCTTTGTATTTGTGGATATATTATACATACATATTATGCACACAGTCTCATAGTGATATATTCTTTATTGTATTCACAGCTTTTGTCTCGAAACCATTGCGCAAAATAAAAAAAATTCATGCTGTTGATTATGTTATCACTTTGATGTTAATGTGCAAAAATGATATTTTGAAGTATTTCTTGTCACCGTTCTCTGCCTTGCTATTGATAAAATTATGATTATAGATTTACAATGGGTATCAGCATATTTGTATATTTGAATGTACAAGACAGTGTTCAAATTTGTAATTTAAATTCATGTATGCTTAAAGGTTTATGGATAGATATATTATCATGTTTTTGCTCTTAATTGCTTTGATATTATTCATGTTTGTAATTCTTGTATGTAGTTCCTGCTGTGTGCATCAAGGCTACCATTAGTCCCTTCAGAATCACCCTGGATACCAGAAATTGACACTGTATATATAATAATAAAAAAAAAAAAAAGACTGAACAGAGAGTATATGTTTGATACCAGGCTTTCAGTATATATATTCTGGTTTCCACATTTGACATTTTAGAATGGAAGGATCATGTATATTGAGGTAATATTGTTTCTGTATTGATTATACAATAACATGATATAAGTAAAGAGAGTGGCAAAGCTAATTTATAGATGTGAGTCTTTGAATAAGAATTGACAGTGTAGAGTCATCTTTTGGGGATATAAAGAGTATCCATTATATATATCATAGTGTGTTGTGGCTTACTATGAAGCTTACATATTGTGACCATTTTAAAGTAATTTTGAATGCATTTCACAATTTGTTTTAAGGAAAAGATTGTTTTTTGCTTCATCCCTAAACGTGCTATGAGCTTGGTGTTATCAGTTTTGATATGTATGACCCTGAAGAATCTACCATAAGCTTGCCAAACCCTTTTTGGAATATTTTGAAGGTTGCCTTTGGAAAAGGGTTACTGCCATGTAGTCATTAGATATATTATAGATGATTTATTGTGTTTATGTGTTTCCTATCAAACAAGACCATTATTTAAATGATTATGAATATAATTTGAGGTAGGGGAATTTTAAAAAGTAATAAAAAAGATTGAGGGAGGGTGATAAAAGAGAGACACAGACACAGACACAGACACAGAGGCGGGCAGGGGGCAGGGGGGCAGGCGGCAGGCGGACAGGCGGACAGGCGGACAGGCGGACAGGCTGAGAGACACAGACAGACAGACAGACAGACAGACAGACAGACAGACAGACAGACAGACAGACAGACAGACAGACAGACACAGACAGACAGACAGACAGACAGACAGACAGGCAGGCAGATAGACAAAGATAGTTTGTCTAGTTATTAGTTTTTTGTATTGTTTTAGTTTTTTAATAATGAAAAGGTAATTGTTAATTTTATATTTTTTACATAGACACAAAGTTCATAGACCTTTATTTTGCTTGATCTTAAATAAATGTTTGAGATGGATATCTAAAGGGAAAATAATTTATGCTTACAGAGTACAGTGGCCTGTGGTAAAGCTGTGAAGGGGCCAGATGTAGTCTTGAAGGAGCGAGAATGGCAACTCGAGTTTTTTCAGGACAAAGGAAAAATTTACGACAAGAAGCCCTTCAAGTTTACTTTAAAAGAAGGCAAGAAGTATATTTGGTGCTGTTGTGGCAATAGTAAAACTCAGGTAAGAAATGTGACTTTTTAAGATGAATATTCTTTTTTTTAGATTACCTAGAATTAAATTTACAGTAGAAATGAGCAGAGAAAGAAATGTAAAAAAAAGAGAGAAAGAAAACAAAAATCGAAAAACATTTGAGAAGTTAGAGAAACTAAGAATGTTTCTCTAATCTCTACTCTTTTTCTACTACAGTTAGCCACAGATCATTCATGTATTCAAGCTTACAGGCAAATTCATTCTGTAAGCATGGACTTGAAGTAGGTAATGAAGTGTTCTATGTTAAAAGTATACAGAGGGCGCTGCACATACAAAATATTTACTTGGTGATCCTGTTTCCTACTGTGTATCCCAAGTATGTACAGTATATGAATGCCAAGAATTTAATCATACTGAGTCAATGTTAATCAATTGATAGATATTTTCTAAGGTAACTCAACTAGTAAACAGTGGTTGCAGACATACTTTCCCTTTTCTCTTTTACATTTTTATACTATATTATTCAAGGTGTATAGGTATATCACTTTTTTCTGTTCACTGTCTGTGAAATAATTTGAATCATTTCAGTTTTATTACTTGTGTTTTTTGACAGAGTGATTTACCTTTAAAGTATTATCAAATAAGTCTCACTTTTTTA